TCGATGTGCGCGTTTCACGCAAAAAGTACTCAACCGATTTTAACTTAATTTTGTATAGTGATAAAACTTAGTGCTCGTTTATCTCCTAAGGTACACTCGCTATAACTATTTTCATTATTATATATTTCTGTTTTATTATACGTTATTTATTCTATCTGCTATTTCTTTTTACTTGTTTTTTTTTCGTTCTAATTTTGATGAAAAGTATACTTTAACCAGCTCAGGAGTATGAAAAATAATTGTACCAAGTTTCGTTAAAATCCGTCGAGTAGTTTTTGTTTCTATAACGGTTATACAGACAGACAGACAGACAAAAATTTTACTGATTGCATTTTTGGCATCAGTATCGATCCCTAATCACCCCCTGATAGTTATTTTGGAAATATATTTCATTTACAGAATTGACCTCTCTACAGATTTATTATAAGTATAGATAGACTTAACGTTAGTACCTACGTTTTAACGGTTAGTATGAAATACAAATCTTTGAATTTCTTAGCTTTTCTGTACTTGTATGCATGTATGCATTGTAGCTTGTATGCATATATTATATATAATATAAATCTTCCTCTTGAATCCCTATCTATTGTTGAAAACTACATTAAAATCTGTTGAGAAGCTTAAAAGATCTAAGCGAACAGGCAGCGGAAGCGACTTCATTTTATACTTACTATGTATAGATTCGTTGCAGTATTGATTTATACGAACTACGACGTAACAAAATGGCAGGAGTGACCTTGACATTCAACCAATGTGAAGCGGTACTGCAGCTGAGATGGAATGCATCCTAGAGATCTCAAATAACACTGGTTTATAGTGAATATAAGGCTAGTATCTAGTATAAGTTGAGCCCTCAGATATTGGTACATATTTGCAACACCTGTATCACGTAGCAACGAGTATGACTTGTATTGATTTATGTAATTTGCGTAGGTTTATGTAGTGGCCAATAGGGATGCTCAGTAAACTATTTTCATATACCAATCTACGATTGGTTTAAATTTTAACTAAAATGTTTTTTGAAGCCTGATTTTCTTTCAGACATTTAATATTATTGGCATAAAATTATACTTATATATGTAGGTAAGTTCAAAAATTAAATTTAAAATATTCACCTGTAAATAAACTTCATCTAGATATAATAAAGTTAAAACAATAAGTTAAAAAATTATAAAAAATTAAATATTCGAGTGCGTAAAAACGACGATTACCTACATAATATAAATTATTTTTAATATTTATTTTTGCTGCGAGTCCTGCTACGTGAATGTATGCCTCCGACTGCATAATAATAATGCTATATTCTTTTGTCAACTTGTTTTTATCATTTAAGTTTTTAAAGCAGTCGGGTTTTTAAATCTTAAAATTTATTTTTTTATTTACAGCTTTTTAGTTTTGGCCATTTTTTAGAAATTCAACGTTTAAAGTTTAATTTCACAATTTTTTATCCTTTCAAACATAAACATAATATTATGATATCTGTGACATACTTTAGTGTATATATTTCAGTGTTCTCTGTCTCTCTCTCTCTCTCTCTTATAAACCTTCATTTTGACACCTCACTCGACCGACTTGGAAGGATTTTTTTATAAAGATACATAAAGGCTCCTGAAATTCGCCATTTTGATTTTAAACAATATATATTATATACCCTCTCACTATGACACTCGTTATCAAGACAAATCTAACGACGTATGAATTATTAAAATCGATTAAGCCGTTTATGAATTACGAGGTACGCATAAAAATATTTACCAACTTATATTTTCCATAATTGATAAAATTTAAAAAAAAATGTATCAAACGACAACTTATTTCTGCAATCAAAAAAGTACCTACTTTAGTAATTACCTATGTATTGCGAAAACATATTTTTTTTATTTGTGTATAAATATAACTCTCGATCGACGTCACAATTATACACATTTTTAAATCATTACAGCTGTCAAATTATTATTATTAATAGCATACAGCCAAAGAGTTTTCTTTGTAGTTTTAGCGCGAGCGAAGCCACGGGTTCTGTTAGTATAATAATATAAACGCCCTTCCTCATCCGTGTTCGTTCCTATCTCATCGCAATTTCCGTTTTAAAATTAAACAGTTAATGAATTGTATAGCTAAGACAGCTTGTATTATATAAAAGTACCTACTTATATGAAATTAAGTCTTGTCATATGTACTTTTTTAGATTACGCGAATATTTGACATCCATATAAATATAAATAAAATTAAAGTATCTGTAATGTCCAAATTACAGATTTTAATAAATGCATATGAAATTATATCTTCTTCTTCCTGCCGATTTCCCAAATTACCTACTTGGGGTCGGCGCAGTACGTTTACCATACTGCTGATCGGTTTTGGCAAAAGTTTTACGACCGGCCGCCTGCCTGACATCAACCCTCTTTGCTTTTGTTTACCAACGTCGTGCTGAAGATTGTCTTCTACGACACTACACACTTGCAGTATTTTATCTTTTTTATTTGCCGTGACGTTTCAATATCCAATTTAGAGTTAATTTTGTTAAATATGTAATCATTTAATTTCATGTCAAACCATAATGTGCACCAAAATTCAGCCATTTTTTCATTGGCATAGCCAGTTGGCTTACGTTATTTAACTTAATACTTGAAGAGCTTTATAGAATTTAGTTCTTTAAATGGCACACATATTCGGGGATGTTCCCATAATGTTTACTCTTTCCAAAACGTATTCATTTTTGTGCCATCTTCTTAATAGATCAAAGTTTATTTTACTATATAATTTTTAATAAATTTTGAACTCATTTTTTACTCATATGAAATTATATACGGTACGAATAAATATAAAACAATTTTTAAATTTTTGTCTGTTTGTTTGTTCCGGCTAATCTGTAAAAAATTGCTGGACCGATTTTGACGGGACCTTCACAGGCAGATAGCTGATGTTATGAGTAACTTAGGCTACTTTTACTTTAGAAAAAGAATCAGGGTTCCGCACAAAAAAATTAAAACCCATGAAATTGTGAACAGAAATTGTGAACAAAAATTGTACCCAAGCGAAGCGAGAAGTCGCTAGTTTTAAGAGGGCACCGGCACTGTGAAATTTTATGCTTCTTTCTATAAAAGTGATGGACTCCCTATATGTAATAACTATCAACCCCTAGTCACTGTATGTAATATTACCGTGCCCTAGTTCACGCTCTTAAGGGATAGATTTTCAAAAACGCTAAAATAAATATTTATTTATTTATAACCAGAAGCCTGTATAATATGAAATTTCATGCTTCTAACTTTGAAAAAGACGGATTTCCACACAACTGTTCATTTTATTTTTTTCATTTGTTTTTATTTTTTTTGCCATAAGATTCTCGTCTACTGCAATGTTCCATTTTTAACTTTTTAATTTTTCTTTTTTTTTTTCATTTTCAAAATGTGACGAAATTGGTTGTACTTTTTTTTTATTTTATTTTACTGTTATGTTGGCATTTTGAATTAATTTATTTTCATTTTATATGTTCACTAGCATTATCCGCGGCTCCGCTCGCGTTCAGATGACCAAAAACCGAATTCTTAGGGTTTTACATAATATTAGTATACTGTTACATTACAGTTTGTGTATTTACTGTTACATTACAGTTTTAGTATTTTCTCACAAATGAGATATTTTCCCGCGGTAAAAAGTATACTAAATGTTGACCCGGATAACCAGCTATCACCATACCAAATTTCATCAAAATCCCTCCAGTGGCTTTTCTGAGATGGGGTAACAGACAGACAAGACAAAAATTCTAAAAACTATTGATTCGGCCCCTTTATCAAAAATAATCTCTATTTTAAATAAATAAAATTTTCCAAAAAATATTTCATGTACAGATTCAGCTTAGTTTGAATTTTATTATATGTATTGATAAAGAGGCAGTTTGTTTGAACACACTAATCTCAGGAATTACTAATCCAATTTGGAAAATTCTTTTTGCATCAGATAACCAGTTTATTGAGGAAGCCTATATCATCATGCAACTACCCAAGGGAGCGGAGCAGTAATGACTATATCAATAAGATTTTTCCAAAAAATATTTAATGTACAGATTCGACTCAGTAAGAATTTTATTATATGTTTAGAAAATATGTGTATGTGATTATTATTTTTATTTCTTGCACTGTTATTGCCCACTGAAATCTTCCACATGTCAACTGGAAGAGATCTCTTTCAGAGATAAGTCCGCCTTTGCCAAATAAGTTTTTTTTTCTGTATTACTTTAAAAGTGCAATAAAGAATATTACCTATATTCTAAAGAGGTAAAAGTTTGTAAGTTTGTAGGATATCATCTCTGGAACTACTGAACCGATTTAGATGAAATTTGGTAAGAAGATAGTTTGAGACCCTGGGAATCTATTAAATATTTCCACTTTATTAATATTTATTTACTTATCACTCAGTAGTCAGTAGGTATACAAATTATTAGTATACTATTTTAAATCATTATTTTTAGCTTTATATTTAGTTTTATAATACTCATACTCCATAAAATTTAATTTATGTTACTTTAAAATATTAGTTTACCCCCATGTTCTCTTTTTTTGGGTTTTTTATCTAATTACAATTCAAAAGTTTTCTAACTTTTAATTGATAAGCAAACTGTTAAAAACTCAAAACAAAATACTTAAATTTTTATTTATTCTCAATCAGTAGTTTGAGAAAACAAATATATATGTAGGTATGTAATGTATCTAATTTTATTACTTCTTTACGATAAATAAATGAAACAATTCAATTAAAATTGAAGCAATTTATTTACATTTAACATTAAAATGTAGTAACGAAAAATCTAGAAATGGAATAACTATTAAGTTATATGAATATGAAATCATGATTCTTATTTTATTTACTAAAAAAAAATAAAAAAAAACGAAGTTAAACAAAATTACATATTTACAATAAAGCTGTAGGATTCATAGTTCAGTCTTACATTAAAACGATGCCACACAATCTACCTAACTTAAATAATTTTTGTTTTATTCACTTATTTGTTTTTTAACAGGACCAGTTTGGATAATTGGCACGATGCGTTCACCTGTTGAGGGCATTGGTAGGATTTTTGGCGCGATAACGGTTAAAACACCATCCGATGATAGTTTTGATTTTACAGTATCTGGCAAACATCCCTTTGGCAATGGGTACCTGCGGACGAATTTTCTCGAGACGAATCCGTGTTCATCTCTTCTCTCTTCATGGTTTCCTTCCACGATGATGAAGCCGTTAACAACTTTTACGCTTATTTCGTCCGGTGAGAAATGCTGTACGTCCACACTTACTTGAAATTTCTCGGTGTCCGAAGAAATCGAAGTATCTTTCAATCCCAATTCGTTCATGTCGGTTGTAAGTTGTTGTAGCTGCTTGAAAACACTTTCCCATGGCTTGAAAAAATCGTGTGGAACGAGCTGATACCCCTCAGGTCTACGACCGAGTCTGTGCTCGCAAATTAACGGGATAAGCGACATTTTGTTTTATTATAAAATTAAAAACACTTGTTATTATTGTTGAACTTATATCACGAAGTTTACGTCTTATTTTGCTTCTCTAAACTGTCACGAAGACGCAAGTCGCCCTTTATATATACTAGCAGCGCCACCTATTATCGTTTACTCGAACCTGTGAGAAAGTTCAAGAATTATCTAAGAAGCTCTTTACATCTTGTGAATTTTCTAGAAAAATATTAGAATACAGAGCCATCTATTGTTGAGTAGTATAAAGACTAGAACCTAATGTTTACTTGTATGATAATAGATGTCGCTTTTAAATTACAAACTTCGTAATTTATTTATCTTATATAATTTCTTATTATAATTAATAATTAGAACAAACTTTACGTTAAAACGCAAAAGAAAACCGTTAAAGCGAAGCGAGAGTGAGTTGTTAGTTTTGTAATATTTATTTACACTTTTTTTCTTATTATTAGACAGTGTCATAATTTTTATAGAAAAGCCGGTTAGTGTAAAGGGATGGTTCTAACTGAGGAAGAATTGATTTTCAAACAAAATATAGAAGATTAATATTACATAAATAAGCAACTGATTGTAAAAGTACGCTAGAACTTTTTACCACTGTACTCATATAACCTTTTTTTTTAAATTATAATGTTAGGTACATTATCACTCCCTATCTGTAAGTGCTTTCTATCCCTATGACACGTCGCTAATTAAGTGTAATTATACCTTTTTTAATGTTGGGTAATAAACACATTTACGCATACCACCTGTATACGTACAGGTGGTTATGTGGTACTCACCGGCTAGAAAAGCCAGCTAAAACCCAACAGAACCTCCCTCGTCTTAATGGGGCGTTGCAGGATCGCTTACGCTCTCAACCACGACGCTTCGACAGCAGGTCTGCTGTAGCAGACCACACAACCAAGTGGTTGCTCCAAGGTCCACTCTGCTATCAGAGAAGTACCAGGAGCAACCCGCATAGTACACCGCCCACCGAAGCGGACCACCTCCCTGTGTGTCTCTTGGTTTCGCGCCCGGCTGGATTGCCGGACTCGAAGTTTGGCACGTCGAGCATCGATGTCACGCAAGAACACTTAGTGCGTGTGGAATTATGAAGCAGGCTCTTGATGATAAGGAGGGGCAATAGGATTGCGGAGAATATTAAAGAAGGTGGGTTATAATTGTTTATTAACGTGAATTTTGTGGTGATTACGTGTTTTTGATTTCACGCTGTAACTACATAGACATTTTGTGTAAAAATCTATTTTTTTTGTTATTTTTTATATTCTTATTTTCTTGCTAGATCACAAAGTATTTCTCTTATTTTATTTTAAAAACGTACCTACCACTCAAGAGGAGCCGTAATCCTAAAAGTAGTGTTTTATATATTAGCTAGTTATTCTAGCTTCGCTCGGGTCTATCCCTATATACTTTATGACGGTTAGTATGGAATAGATATATAAGATAACAGACAGACAGACAGAGAGTTACTTTCGCATTTTATATTAGTACTAGCATTGCCCGCGGCTCCGCCCGCGTTCAGATGACCAAAAACGAAATTCTTAGGTTTTACATATTAGTATGATAGTATGTAAGAGTACATTGCAGTTTTCGTATTTTTTACTCAGAAATGAGATTCTTTCCCGCGGTAAAAAGTATCCTATATGTTGACCCGGATAACCAGCTATCATCTCTATCCAGTGGTTTTCTCGTGATGCGGCAACAGACAGACAGACAGACAGAAAGACAGACAGACAAAAATTCTAAAAACTATAGATTCGGCCTCTTTATCGATAATAATGTCTATTTCAATAAGATTTTCCAAAAAATATTTAATGTACAGATTCGGCTTAGTTACAATTTTATTATATGTATAGACGGATTATATGTAAAGTTAAAGATTTATATTTCTCACACCGCTGATATGTACTATAGTTAATGAAACATTAAGTAATACATTGACTACACTCAGATAAAAGTTCATTATATATTATTATGTTATTAATATATTGCAATGTCAATGGGCTATCAATCAGTCGTCGTGCGGTTACGAGTCGAGATGCGAATTGTTGTGTTACTGTGTGCTATCTTTGGGTGAGACATATTTAATTATATATAATATATTTTTAATTATCATCGATATATCATATATATATATATATATATATATATAGGGTGTCCGTTATTCACTAAGTTGGTTATTTTACTTGCGACGCCCCCCAAATTTTTAGTTTATCGTTTAAAAAAATGTCAGACCAAAATAAGCCCTTAGTGTGCTTAATAAACCTAGCCTTAAATTTTGCCACTTTTTGCAATTTTTTTCTCGAACTAGATGACTTACATCAACGAGACACATTCTTATAGGAAATTGAATGCTCTACAAAAAAGGTTTCATATTATAGTTTTTCGATGAATTCACACGTTCAAAATTTATTCGAGATGAAAATTGAATTCTGTGTAAATTTTCTGATTTTTTACATTTACAACAAAGTTATTATTTCGATAAAAATATTAGTTAATTTCTTAAAAATGGATAATTACAACCCGAAGTTCTAATGTTGCTGGTGTTATGGCCCCGTGCCTCAGAGAGTATGTAAAGCCGGATCTGTCACCGGCTGAATTGTCCTGTAAAACCAATTTTGTCCAAAACAAACAATAGAAATGTTGGTCCGAACCACGAACGTATTGTTCTTATTGTATTGTTTGTATTTTTACTGATAACAAGTAAAAATAGTGCATAACAACGTTCTAAGTGCCTACTCTGCTAGTAACTAAACTAAGAACTTATTATAACAACAATTAATGTTAATAATTGTCCTTTTATATCTCTTAAGGGATTTCCGGGATAAAAAGTATCCTATGTCCTTCCCAGGGTCTCAAACTATCTTCTTACCAAATTTCATCTAAATCGGTTCAGTAGATCCAGAGATTATCCCCAACAAAGTCACAAACCCACAAACTTTACCTCTTTATAATATTAGTATAGATTAATTATTCATTAATAATTAACTACAGATTTTTTACTGAACCCATGAATCCGTTACAAGTTGAAGTTTGGAAAGTCTTACAATTAGTCGTAACTAACACTGACAAAAGAATCGGCGATACAAAAAATAATTCTTTTAAATATTCTTTTGCTCTAAAGAGCAGTTCTATGTAAATTTCAAGAAAAAAGCACTGCCTTTGCCCTTTTTTTCTCCTCCTTCTTCTTTTCCTTTTCCTCCTTAGTCGGTTAAACGTAAATAAGTTGTTAATATTTTGATTTAGACGTGATATTTCAAACGGTTTGTAGTTTGTAATCACTGCAGTTGAGGGAGTACTCGATAGTACTAGTTTATGCATACATATAATAAAATTGTAATTAAGCCGAATCTGTACATTAAATATTTTTTGGAAAATCTAATTGAAATAGACATTATTATCGATACAGAGTCCGAATCTATAGTTTTTAGAATTTTTGTCTGTCTGTCTGTCTGTTGTCTGTTATCGCATCACGAGAAAACCACTGGACAGATTTTGATGAAATTTGGTATGGTGATAGCTGGTTATCCGAGTCAACATATAGGATACTTTTTGCCGCAGGAAAATGTCTCATTTCTGAGAAAAAATACAAAAACTGCAATGTAAGAGTATACGCAATGCTAATTTATACTATAAGTACATAATGTTCCATATATTATTTCATACAATTTTAAATTAGACTAACGAGATAATAATATCCTCTGACACTATTACATATCTGACACCTCGTTACGCTAAAAAAATACGATCTTGTTTAACAAAAGCTCAAATCAAAACTTATACAAGTTTTACACAAACTAATATAATTTAGTTATTTTATAAGCATAATATTTGAAGTAAGTATTCAATACAAATCTATCTATACTAATATTATAAAGAGGTAAAGTTTGTGAGTTAGTGACGTTGTAGGGGGTAATCCCTGGATCTACTGAACCGATTTAGATGAAATTTGGTTAGAAGATAGTTTGAGACCATGGGAAAGGCATAGGATACTTTTTATCCCGGAAGTTATCCCTTAAGGGGGTGAAAACGGGGATGAATGTTTGTATGGGGAATCAACCTAGGAATGAACCCGAGCAAAGCGCGTGTGAGTCGCTAGTACATATAATAAAATTCTAACTGAGTCGAATCTGTACATTAAATATTTTTTGAAAATCTTATTGAAATAGTCATTATTATCGATACACAGGCCGAATCTATAGTTTTTAGAATTTTTGTCTGTCTGTCTGTGACCGCATCATGAGAAAACCACTGGACAGATATTGATGAAATTTGGTTTATCCGGATTATCAAATAAGATACTAAGAAGAGATTCTTACTCCGGGAAAATATGTCATCTCTGAGAAATCTACACTAAACATTAAAACGTAACTAGGGTCGTTAGTTATAATATGTATTATGTATAAAGTTATAAATATGTTTTCTACGTTGTGATTCATACTATGTTAAATTATAATAACGCGATAGCAGTATCTAACTAACAATATTACCGATTTACGTTATAAATACGATCTTTTTACCCAACCGCAGCGAAGCTAAAAGGAGAGTTATGTATTTGACCTGATGATCCTATGTACACCCGTAACTACTGAACGGCGTAACCGATTTTGATGATTCAACCGTCATTAGATTCGTCTTGGTAACGCAAGAGTCATAGGATATTATTAGAAATTATAAAAGCGCATTTCAGACGCCAATTTGCGCGTCTTTATAAAAACATTCCTGAAAATTAAGAGTTGTGAAAAAAAATCAAAATTCAAATCCAAGCTCATACAAGTCAAATTCAAACTTAAAAAAGTATAACTCAGTTTAAGGTATGTATATAACACAACTAGCGACTCACCCTCGCTTTGCTCGGGTTCGTCCCTAGGTTGATTTCCCATGCAAACTTTCATCCCCATTTTCACTCCCTTAAGGGATGATTCCGGGATAAAAAGTATCCTATATCCTTCCCAGGGTCTCAAGCTATCTTTTTACTAAATCCCATCTAAATGGGTTCAGTAGATTCACATATTACCCCCTACAACGTCACAAGCTCACAAACTTTACAATATTAGTATAGAAGTATAGATTATTTTTCTTTCAGCTTCGGGAGTTCAAAATATGTATCTAAAACGTCGAAGGTATGTTTTGATAAGCACTTCATGTTTGGCGTAGCAACTGCGTCATATCAAATCGAAGGAGCATGGAATATATCAGGTAAGACAAAAACTATTAGTCTACTAGTATTAGCCAAAATATAGGCACTAACGTATATTACAGCTATGAGAGCTGGGTCCCCTTTAAAGAGACAGTAACGGCTACAAATCAAATATTTATAATATGTATGTATTTAAGCTTTTTATCTGAACAACAACAAAACTGAGTTATATATGTTTAGTGTATCAACTATCTGGTATCCATAACACAAGCCTCGCAGCTTACCATGGAACTAGATGGTGCTGTGTGTTACTGTCCCAACATATTATACATATATATCTAACAATAATTTGATAATGGGTTACGCGAGATATATGAAAAATTTGAGAAAATATCCAGCTGAAAGTTATGTTTATACTTTGGATTAACACATAGTCTATATATACACTATCTAGGACATAAACCCTTTCGAATGCAGTGCAATACTGCAACATGAAAGATAAGGTGCAGCTGTAGGTCTTATGCCCGATTTCACCAACGTCACCTAAGTTTAAGGGATCCCATAAGCATGGTTAGGGGGCTGTTAGGGGACAGTTTCTGTTTCACCTACAGTTAGGGACCACCTAAATATGAAAAGGCCCCCTAAATTTAGGTGCTCGAAATATGGGCTTAAAGACGATCGTAAAACGAAATTTAAATTAGGGGCTAGTTTAGGGGACTTTTAAGCTAGGGATCCCATACATAGGTAGCTTATGGGTTGTTGGTGAAATCGGGCATTAGTGAGTAAAAGAGACTCTTCCACACAGTTCCCTGACTACTGGCGGCCATGATAGGTTCCTCAGTATGATAAAAAATATATATAATTCCTGTGTTATATATGCGCGAAACCGAAGGCAAAATCTAGTAATGCATATATAATTAAAAGGCAGTTAATTAGTAATATTTATTCTAATCAAGCGATAAAATACTATAAACAAGTCCTTTTCCTTGTTTTGTTGTTGTTGTTGTTGTTGTTATGTGCTCAGATAAAAAGCTTAAAAACAGCCAGTTCTTGTTGTATAAATGTTCTGGTAAAGTAAATGCGAGATAACTAATACTATTAACACATAGGCACCTTTTTTATCAAGATACCATATAAGCGTGGCCACGTGTGTAAACTAGTTCTGTATAAAACAGATATTGAGTATCTTCTTCTTCTATATACATAAAAATGAATGTTTGTATGTTTGTCTTCTATGCGTTCCTAAACTATTGACTCGATTGAGATGAAATTTTGGTGGGTTATCCAGTATACGCCTGCGAAATTTTTGGCCCAAAATTGTGAATGTTTTGCACAGATGTGATTTATGAGCTCTAAACTGAGAAGAACTAAGGTCGATCGATATATTATTAAGTTTTTTAAATACTTTTATTATTTCAGGTAAAGGAGAAAGTATATGGGATAGGTATACTCACGAGCGGACGGATAGGATATTTGATCATAAAAATGGCGACGTCGCTGCCGATTCTTACCATTTATTTAAGGAAGACGTGAAGCGTTTAGTTGAATTAAATGTGCAATTCTATAGATTTTCAATATCCTGGCCGAGGATTCTTCCAAATGGGTTAAGCAAGTACGTACCTAAAACATTTTCGTTTTTAAGACTGCTACTGTTTTATTATTAATAGTATATTTTAAATAAATATTTCAGCATTACGATACAAAAAGGCAAGTTCCATTAAAGCCCTGACTGAGCCGCTACACTTTAAGGGATGAAATTTTGACAGCCTATTCCTATAATGACAGGCTCTAACTCAAAATATTTTTAAGGGAATGAACTCAAAAATGAATTGCAAATTTTGTACAAAGACTAAAAAAATGTCTGGCAAAATTAATTAAATTAATCGATCTTTATAAAAAAAATCTTAATAAAATAAAACAATAAGAAAATAAATATTTTCCATTTTACTTGAAAAAAAAAATCCTCCTCTTGGTGCTCCTTTTTTACATATAAAGCCAATTTCATACAATATCAAATAAATTCCGTATTAGGGTTGTATTCACCCCTTTTTAAAGTCCCCCTGCTGGGCACTGGCCTTCCTTCAATACGAGGGGTGTCAGGTCATAGTCCACCACGCTGGCCAAGTGCAGGTTGGCGGACTTCACATGTCTTTCGAAAACTTGCTAGGTTCTCCCAGACATACAGGTTTCATCACGATGTTTTCCTTCACCATAAGACAAAACGGCTATATAGGAATACATTAGGATTTTGGTTATGGAACCCTAAAAAACCAAGTTTTCTTCAATTCATTCAACATATTTATATTTATTTCAGTGAAATAAACCAAGATGGGATAAGATATTACACTGAACTATTAGATGAACTGCTCCGTCACAACATACGACCTGTCGTTACCATGTACCATTGGGATCTACCACAAGTTCTCCAAGACCTTGGCGGTTGGACCAATCCAATAATTGCTGATTATTTTGTGGATTATGCTAGAGTAAGTTATATAATTAATAACTAACTATATTTAACACTCGATATATAAACAACAACACAGCATAAAAAAGTGAATCTAAAAACCAATTTTGGACAACAGTTCCATTAATATAGACATAATAATTGCTCGTACTTCAATATTGTCTAGTTTATACAAAAGCACAGAATTTTTTATAGTTAAACTACTCTAAAAACACTTTGTTCTCGTCATTTTTTTTTTAAATCTAGATGAAATAATCTTTTACAATGAGAAGACTGAAAGTACGAGTTTAAATGACATCCGAAAACGAGAACGAGTTCTGTAATGCCACACTAATATTACATATATAGAATAAAAGTTTGTAAATTTTTACCTTTGAATGTAACTGGTTATCTCTGAAAAGATACATATGCCTATAAGTACTTCCGTCTAGGAAATAAGTTGTTTATAACCCCCGACGCAAAAAGAGGGTTGTTATAAGTTTAACGTCGATGTCTGTCTATGGCATCGTAGCTCTCAAACGGATGGACCGATTTCGATGCGTTTTTTTTATTTGAAAGCCAGTTTCCTTGCGGTGGTTCTTAGCTATATTTGGTTAATATCGGTCGAGCAGTGTTAGAGTATCACCTCTTTTCCAAAATGATGTAAGGCATTTTGGCGTATGATTACTCGATTAAGTGCTTCACGCGTGCCAGTGTAATCGTTAAATGACAATTAATTTGCGTGGCGGTTTTATAATTTTTTAATTTATAATTAATCTAAATTTTTCTCATTTTATTAAGAGGTCACAGCGTAACGACCATACTTACTTACATCAACAATTTAAGTGTTTGCATTTCAGGTTTTATTTAAACATTTCGGTTCAAAAGTACCAACTTGGCTAACTTTCAACGAGCCCTTATCTTTTTGCGAAGATGGTTACGGCGGGACAGACGCACCCGGGAACAAAGCTAGTGGGTTCGAAGATTATTTGTGCGGTCATAACGTGTTGCGAGCTCATGGTATGGTGTACCGGATGTATAATAAAGAATATAGACGGCGATTGAAAGGTATTGTATATTTAGTAGAACGATGCATAGTAAAGCCACCTTAAAACAAAGAAAAAACATTATAGGTTTTATTATTATTAATATGTAGATTCGAGTTAAGTCAAAACCTAGATTATATTGAAATGAGACTTAATTGTATACAGCCCTTTTTACGTCTCACTGCTGGGCATGGACCTCCCAGACAAGCAGATTTCCTCACGATGTTTTCCTTGACAAGTGATAATCATGTTGAAAATGATTCGCACATGGAAATATCAGAGGTGCGAGACCCGGGATTTATACTCGCTTCACTCGGTTTCTCAAGCGAGTGTATTACCACTAAATTACCATTGCCTTAGAGATTTAATTATAATAAGAATATAAAGTATCTATTTCTCCTCTTTTATAGCTGACCTTGGAATCACTTTAGATTTCTCATGGTTAGAGCCAAATACTACATCGGAGGATGACCGAATAGCCGCTGAAACCGCTAGGCAGTTTCATGTAAGTTAGTATAATGCCGAACCCTCACGCTTGTCAAGCCTTGAAAAGCCATCACAAATTCAAACATGTGGAGAGAACGTTTGGCTTGGCTTGTTTGCAAGAGCTTAAATTTTCGATCGTATCGGTTTTTGTGCACAAATAAAAGGAAATTTGCTTGTAATGTGTTTGTGACGTTTGTGCGTTTGTTAAGATTTGAAGTTTGTGGCAAATGGTAAACGTGTGGACTCGGCATAATAGGCGAAAAGCCTTTAATGCTATCACTTTATATAGGTTACCAAACACTATTAAAATGGAGTCCATTTTAACGTACTTCTTTATGTTTTCATTTCAAATTTTGTAAGTATATGAAATCTGTACGACAGTATAACAGTATAACACCTTGATACCATAGAGCAAGTCAAAAAATGGATCAAAAAGTTTTTTTTTAGCTTTAACTGTAGGCACAAATAAATACATACACAAATATATACACACATCATTTTTTATTTTTCTGTTTCTATTAAAACTTTTTACTAACTTTTTTGGAATTACGTTTGTGACAGATTTTGCTAAAACAAAAAATAGTGACATTAAAAGGCGTTCAATGAAATGCATGATTCTTATTTCCTATTTTCAATAAATAGATTTAAATAATCTAATAACTCTGCAACGGCCATAAACTAAACTTATTTATATTTTTTATTTAATAAATGTTCCAAATAATTTTCTTCTTTTTAGTTTGGTTGGTTTGCACATCCAATATTTTCAAATACTGGGGACTATCCTTATATCATGCGTAAAAGAATAGATGCTATATCCAAAAGACAACGATACACTCGCTCAAGGCTGCCAACATTCACTCAAAAGGAAGTCGAAATGATTAAGGGATCAGCCGATTTCTTGGGTCTTAATCATTACACAACGTATTTAGTGTCTAAAAATAGAGGCAAAATACCACTCTTTCCCTCCTTTTCTTCGGATATGGGAGGTATAATATCCCAAAAGGCGGAATGGCCGAAGACGAACTCTTCATGGTTAAAGGTAGTTCTTTTATAAGTATTGGAGTAGAGCAAAAAAAATTTTTTTTCTTAACTTGGAGGTAGAATTTGTAGCTTATAGAAACAAAATTTTTAATCAACATTTTGAGGTGGTCCACTGATTTTTAAATAAATAATTAATTTAATTTTTGGTTTGAATGAAATATTCTTTTTTGAGTGATCATTTTTGAAAACATTCAAGAATTGACGAATATAGTCATTTTTTACTCAACTGTAATACATAAAAGTAACATGTTATTTTTTCAACTTTATTTAAAAATTGTAATAAATCCAACGGAATTGAGATACAAACTAATCAATGAAACAAAATTATAAAAATCGGTTCACAAAAAATTTATTACCTCCATCTTTTTGAAGTCAGTTAAATAACAATATTTATTAGTAAAGCTGGTGTCATACTAATTTATATGCTAACATTTCTAGGTAGTTCCATGGGGTTTTAGGAAATCACTTAATTGGCTGAAGAAAGCATATGATAACCCACTAGTGGTCATAACTGAGAATGGAATGTCCCTAGAAAAGGGCCTGGAAGATATACGACGAATAAAATATATTGAAGGGTACCTCAAAGCGTTACACGCAGCGATATATAAAGACAATTGCAATGTCTATGGATACACGTATTGGAGTCTCATTGATAATTTTGAATGGACGAGAGGATTTTCGTAAGTCATTTCTTGCACATATATAAATATAGATAGACTAGCACTGCCCGCGGCTACGCCCGCGTTCAAATGACCAAAAACCAAATTCTTAGGTTTTACATATTAGTATACTCTTACAATGCAGTTTTTGTATTTTTTCTTAGAAATGAGATATTTTCCCGCGGTAAAAAGTATCCTATATGTTGACCCGGATAACCAGTTATCATCGTACCAAACTTCATCAAAATCTGTCCAGTGGTTTTCTCGTGATGCGGTAACAAACAGACAGGCAGACAGACAAACAGACAGACAGACAGACAGACAAGAATTCTAAAAACTATAGATTCGGACTCTGCATCGATAATAATATCAATTTCAATTAGATTTTCCAAAAAATATCTTATACAGATTCGACTTAGTTACAATTTTATTATATGTATAGATATGTTGGGACATTAACACACAGCATGTTATCGATACCAGATAGTTGATACACTACACATCATAACTTAATTTTGTTTTTATTAATATGATTTCTAGCTTATCTTTTAATTACTGACGATCATCCATTGCAGTTGGTCTAAATCGTCTTTTTTAGTTACGTAAAACCCATGAAATTGGTCTTACGTTTGGTGAATGATTTTTTTTTTAATTTATTTATACATAATATGTTAGGGAATCGAATCCACTATCCTAAACTATAAACAATTACTGAGTCAATAAGATTTTAAGTCTAATTTGCTTTATTTGATTAACATTTTTATTATTTTCAGTGAACGTTTCGGTTTATACGAAGTGGATTACAACTCACCAAATAAGACCCGTTACAGAAGAATGTCAGCAGAATATTACAGCATGCTCAGTCGTACTAAATGTATACCTACATTCGATTATATTGACTAACATAACTCCTAAACTTAGCCCTTAAGTTTAAACTTTAAATCTATTGACTGCACGGTTTTGGGATTTAAGATACCTATAGAAAATGACTTTTTTTGACCGAAAACAAAAAAGAAAGTCCACTTTGGTGTACTTTTTATATGTACATATATTGCGCGATATATGTACTTATTAATTCAGAACATTTTTTTTTAATGAAATGATTACAACTGCAGTTGGTCCCATATAAATTTCAAAAAGTCATTCCCAGTATCGAATAATCAATTTTAAATGTAATTAGATATATACAATGTACATAGTATGATTCGCATTTAGCAGGCGCTTCCTGTTATGTAAAATGACGAAGGCCAATTATAAAACTTTAGATTGTAAAATAGACCACTGTGAACAAACTGGAAACAAGTTCAAGAGAAAAGAAAATAGGTAACTAAAAGGCTAAGATATTGTTAAAAAGGCTACCATAATCTGAATTAGATCTGAATTTAACATATGAATATAACGCCATGAAAATCCAACTAAGCATCGTTAAGTTGGTGTACGTAACAGTGATGTTTTATAAAATAACTAACTTTTATATATTAGCTGATTCTATAACTTAATATTAATTTTTGAATTATTGCTACATATTTCGGCAAAATAGATTAAATTCAGACGCATAATAAATTTGCCTTCGGCATTTTATAAAATGGCATTCGTTTGTAAACGGAATACGCCGTTTAATAAAATGATTGTACAATATGCCTGCGACATACATATGTATTATATATACATTGAATAAAGTAGTGTGAGTTTTACATAGGTTTATATATTATTTGGCTATGTTATTGTGTAAAAGAGTACACAAGTAACATTTTTTGCTTACAAATGAATTTTCCTTTATATGGAAATTGTTTTTCATGTATGTATATTTTGAAAATGCCTTTCCAAATATAGTGTTTCTTTTGAAGCCTTAAATGTGATGTCATAAAATAGGTAATACCTACATTTTCAAATATGGTATGTTAATGAAAACCGCCTTTGAAAGTTCACCTTTAATGCAATAAATTGTGAAATAATAAGTTTTAGTTGTAGTTTTATTTATAATTATATATATATATATATATATATATTTGTCTTTAAAAAAATAAAGAAATTGCGGTTGCATAGATGGCCATCAAAAGTTTGTATGGGGAGTCGCTAGTTTTAAATAAAAAAAAGTTGTAAAAATTTCATAGATATATTTATTTAAAACATATTTTCACTTAAAATTAGTAATAACTGGAAGACCACGTTCTTCCTAAAGCTACTTATTTCATATGCTAATCTACAGTTAACTGAATAAATAAGGCAGACTTCATACGATAGATAGTTTAGTGATTTAACTAGCGATAGAAACAAGATTAAATATAACTTTTTTAATAAACATAGGTTTTACATGAAAATAAAAAACACCTTGTAAAATCTTTTCATAAGTACATATTATACATATCTATACTAATATTATAAAGAGGTAAAGTTGTGAGTTTGTGAGTTTGTGACGTTGTATGGGATAATCTCTGGATCTACTGAAACGATTTACATGAAATTTGGTAAGAAGATAGTTTGAGACCCTGGAAAGGATATATGATACTTTTTATCCCGGAAATCATCCCTTATGGGGTGAAAATGGGGATGAAAGTTCGTATGGGGAATCAAGCTAGGGACGAACCCGAGCGAAACGAGGGTGAGTCGCTAGTATAATATAATATTAAAAGCTCAGCAGGATTTGATTTTAGTATTCTAACCACTAAAGCTTGAATAGCATCTGTTTAAAAAAAATACTTAATAGATACTTATTGAATGACCAAAGGCACATTAGTCTATACTTACTAATATTATAAAGAGGAAAGTTTTTGTATGTTTGTTTGTGCCAAATAGGCTCCAAAATTACTGAACGGATTTAGATGAAATTTAGTTAGAAGAGAGTTTGAGACCCTGGGAAGGACATAGAATAGTATTTATCCCGGAAATCATCCGTTAAGGGGGTGAAAATGGGGATGACAGTTTCTAGCATGAAGTGTAAGTATAGTAGAATGAAAACGAAAAGGACGCTTAGTTGTTTGCATGGAAGTATGTACCTCCAAGAAAATTAGTTTACAATATTTATTCTAAGTAATCCGTGAGCTTTATGGTCAATTATTGGCTTTTCATATTCTTAAGTAAAATCGTCTAAATCACGTATCATTACACCGGGATTTTGCTCTTTTGAATCTTCAAATTCATTACCTGCATTATATGTATATATATTTTTAGTATGTTCATTGATGATTGACTAACTTTATATATATATATATATATATATATATATATATATATATATATATATATATATAATAATTTAAATATCGATTTTATAACTATAGGGATGCACTGTTTTAACTACCTTGCACGAGAGTTGATTTCTGCCATACATCTATTCGCTTAGCTAGATTGACTTTTGACTTGAAGCATAGTATGGAGAAAATTAGCCCTCAGTAATTCGCTCACTTGTTAGATTATTAAAAATATGTATATGACGAAAGACTTGTTAATTTATTTAAATAATACTAATAAATGTAGGGACATTAAACACAGCGCCATCTAGTTCCATGGTAAGCTACGAGGCTTGTGTTATGGATACCAGATAGTTGATACGTTGATACACTACACATATACAACTGTAAATCTATCGTCGTCTTGAGTGTTTATATGTCCAAACGGCCAATTTACCGAAAGAGTTTTTAAACAGATTAACTTTTAAGTGTCAATTCCTAATCATTGAAATAAATTCTACAACTACAATACAATTGATTTTATACACACACACATATATATATATAATATATATATATATATATATATAATCAATACACTATATCTATTGAGGTCCTAATAATTTGGCAATGAAGAAGGACAAACGTTAATTAATTGTATTATACTATATTTTTACTACTATATATCAGCCTCTAAAAATTCAATACTACAAAAGCTATTGCTTGCTTCTTCAAACTAATTGAATGTTTTTAGCTCTTAGTTTTTGGACTTTTAGTCCTTTATTATAGTTAGGAAGGGTAATTTTATTTTATTTACATAAACGTGAAATATGGTTTAAAAAAAATACAGTCGAATTGAGAACCTCCTCCTTTTTGAAATCGGTTGACAAGGACTTTTTATCTTTTGTTATTATGTACACACACGAGCCCTTTATGTTTCTTTTGAATATATAGATTAAGACTGTGGCATCTTACACTGATTACAAGCTTCCATGCCGTCGTTGAACTCTTCAATTTGGAGGGTCATTTCAAAAAAGTTATACTTTTCGTGGACCAATCGTGTAGCCTCTTCTAGGACTTTTTGTGGACTTACGCCGGTACCTGAAATTAAAAGAGTTAGCTATTTTCCAATAAACTAAATTTATGTACTACGTTGGCTTGCTGAATCTGATATCGCAGGTTCGATTCGCGCATAAAATTCTTTATAGCCCGATCCTGGTATTAAAAAGCTTAATCTAACACGATTCATTCTAAATATCAGCGAAAATAATATTTTTTGTTAAGTAAGTAAGAGTGAAGAAATAAGTTAAGCATTTATATATTTTTCGATATCTAGAAATTTCTATTCACATTTTACTTACGGATAGCAAGATGAGCGGATAAGGCGGTTTTATCCAGCGATAGGGCCCACATTCGTAGATTGTGTATCCTAACAACTCCTGGCAGCGACAAGAATGTATTTGCTACGTCCTGTAAATGAAATGGGAAGAAGTTAACAATCAAATACTCTGAAAAATCAACCGTGAATTTATATACATATACATAAATTGCATAAAAATCCTTTTCTCAATGGAAGATTAATATAAGATTAAAATAAAATAACATAAAAATAAAGAAAAAGAGGAAAACTGTAAAAACTGTAAGATTAAAATAAAATAACATAAAAATAAAGAAAAAGAGGAAAACTGTAAAAATAAAAAATATTCAGAATTAGCTTCATACCTGAAAATCTAGACCCCTAGGAGAACCTTCCATGAGTACTAGTAAAGTATCTTTGATGATGTTGAAAGTAGTGATGAGCACCAACACAGAGAACAGGAAAGTGCAGATCGGATCCACCAAGTTCCATTCGGGCTGAAAATAAAGTTATTAGCAATTTTATTTACGTATTAAACGAAAGATTTATTTGATAGACAGTAGAATACGGGAATAATGTTATCAATAAGACAATATCAATAAGAAACCCTCATAAAATGTCTAAATTTTGCTTAGTACGTATAAGACGAAGCGTGAGTGGCATTTAAATAAATAAATAAACAAATATATTGGGACATTAACACACAGCACCATCTGGTTCCATAGTAAGCTACGAGGCTTGTGTTATGGATACCAGATAGTTGTTAACACTATATATATGTATAACTTTAAATACATACATATTATAAATATAAATACCCATGTCTGGAGTACAAACATTTGTACTCATCACACAAATGAATGCCCCCAGCGGGACTAGAACCCGCGACCGCTGGCACAGCGAGTGGGTCACTACAAACTGAGCCAAACGTGCCGTTAAATTTTCAAAATTTGTCACTGGCATAGTTTACTTTAACTTTTGCGTAGTATATGAGTACAGATGAAAATGATGCAGGCATATTCATACATACATATCTCGTGTATGATCTTATACTCGTGTCTCAAAAGCGATTTCGGAGCAACAAGTACCTACTTTACATGTACCACATACCCAACATATATGTAGTTCTCAAAAAATTATGTTATATGTGATGTTGGCGTAGTAGTCTGTGCTGCTCCGCAGGGGTGTTGTAGTGAATGCGCAAGCAATCCTGCACACCCCATTGCACTGCGGCGACGGGTTCCGCTGTGGGTTTTAGTGAGTAGGAGTCTCACAGTACCCTACCCATTGACGGCCGGTAGGGTCCCCATGATGGGTTTCTCCAGAGTCAAAAAAAAAAAAGTAGTCTGTGCTGACCTGGCACGTTTTGAAACTATTAAGAAGAGTATAATAATGTCCTCCTCATCAATTCCGGCCACAGCGGCCAAACACATTGAGACTAGCCAACTGCGCAGGAGATATTATAGTGCACAAGTGTACGCGCAGACACAACGTGCACTCTCTGTTCCTGTCACTCTCATACTCTGGTGGGACGACACGAGACACGACCGGTGAGAATTAAGGCGCAGGACCGACAGCTTTACGTGCTCTCCGAGGCACGGGGATGAAACACCGCCAACTTCCCAATTCCGGGCTGTTACTGAGACTTACTGAATAGAAAGACTCAATAACTAAACTTGGCTTGGAATTGATGGACTGTAGGAAGAATAAAATTAAAACTACCTTATAATAAATAACGATGGCTGCAATCAAAACGCCGAAACTTTGGAGGAAATCACCCAACACGTGTATAAATGCGGCGCGAACGTTGATGTTTTCCGCACGATGTTCGTGCTGGTGTGAAGAGGAGCTTTCCGCATCGGAGTCTGAGCGTTCCTTCTGTAAATAATAAAAGAAAAACTTATAAAATATAGAAATATGACTAAAGGGTAAATTGTACCAAAACACTTACATGAAGACAAAAAGTGGTTACTGGTTAGTATAACTCGTCACAGAGGATATGAGTTTTCTTCAAATCTTCGTCTATATCAGATTGAAGTGTCTGTTTGTAATGTCTAAATAATAGCTTTTTAATAAATGCATATAAAATTATATATAGTACTAGCTAGTATAGTAGGTATTATATGATCTGTGGTACTAGTAAGAAGAGCACAAAATTTAAAAACTTCGTCTGTCTGTTTGTTCCGGCTAATCTCCCAACGGCTAGACTCATTCCGATGGGACTTTCTGATGTCATAATTAGTAACTTTGACTACTGTTATTTTAGAAAAAGAATTAGGGTTCCAATTCAAAAAATATATAACTTACCTAATAAATATAAATATACTAGCAGACCCGACAGACGTTGTCCTGTCTACACGTCTTTAATTTGAAAATTTCAAACTTTTTTTAATAATTTTTTTGATGAAAATTATTATTCAAATTGTGAATCTAAACCATTCCCAGATCCCCTTGAAAACACACAAAAAATTTCATCAAAATCGGTCCAGTCGTTTGAGAGAAGTTCAGTGACATACACATTCACAGAAGAATTATATATATAAAGATAAAACATTGTCGTTTATTTAGACATAACTTTTAACTATTGTAATTTAAAATGTGAATGATTTCTGTTCGATCGAATAAGCAGCCGTAGTATCTTTGGGGCTTGGGATAGCATGTTATTAAGAACTTACTTTGTTATTGAGTATAGGATTGTTGCCGCCGTGAGAGTGGCCGTGACCGCCGCCCCCGTGACTGTGCCCATGTTGGTGTAGAGTAAGACCCATACTGTAATGAAGTATTAATAGGAGGATTTCATATCATGAATTAATATGTAACGATCTTTAATAGTTTCTTACGACATAACGTGTTTATATTTTAGTTTGAATAAAATCTATCACTTCTAGGTCGTCTTAAGTTAATTTAAATAAAAAACACCGACGGTAGATAATTACTTTAAATACTAATGATATCACTTTAAGTAATTATCCGCCTTAGGTTTTTTTTTAACATATTTATAAAAATTGGGATAGCTTCACATATACATAAAAATAATCATTAAAATCATTACACAGTTTAGCAAATATTTTACGTTAACAGAAACGGATCACATCTTATAGCTGTTCAAAAATATCATTATATAATCACTAAATATTGTATACATACACTAAATTCACAGCAACTCCAACAGCAGATGTGATCAACATAACGGTCGCGTCGATCTCGAACTCCTTATATATAACTCTTTGAACAGCCATGTACACGAGGACTCCGGTCACCACCCAAATCAGAAGAACCGACGTTAAAGCGCCTATAACTTCAGCTCGATACCAGCCAAAAGGCATCCTGGATGAAAAGTAAAGAGAAACTGTTAAGTTTTTGTTTGAAATTTTTAGCAGAATTGCCTTCACATAACTGCTCGCAAGCCGGTGATAGCTTGCCTCAGTATGATTGATTGATGTTTTATTAAATTGACTCTTCAAAAATGCTTGGAAAGGTCTAGCAGAATAAAGAATATTTCAGAAATAAGGAAGAATATTCGAAGAAGATATAGTACGGTCATGTTATTGACTAGCCAATATATATATATATATATATATTATATATATATATATATATATATATAATAGCGTAGCCAATAGAATAGAGAAGATCTAAAGTGTAAAACGGAAAGAAGATGGATGTGTTTTAAATTATATAAAAAGTATATAATATGTATGTATATTTGTATATATATATATATATATATATATATATATATATATATATATATAAATTAAAATACCAGACTTGACATGAAAACGTAACTTGCTCAGTTAAATATGCACATTCAATTATTTGAGATAAGAACGGTATCTATTTAAAATAATATTAAACGAACATTTAATGTTAATTTTCGCTAGTTCTTCAGGAAGAAGGGGAAAGAAGGAAAGAAACTTCCTTTCCAAACTGTTGTATGACGTTTAGACTTGCAATAAGATATTGATATATGTAGCTTGAATGTTAACAAAATTATTTATTAAACATTAAAAAAATATTTATTTAGTTTCACTAACCTTCTAGTAGCGGGTCTACTTGCGACCCAAAGCGAGAATAACGATATCATGAAACTAGCAAAGTCCGTTAAGAGATGTGCCGCATCAGTTGCTATCGCCAGACTGTTTGATAAGTATCCACCTGGGAATAATTATAAATTAAAACTTTTAAAAACCCCCAACGCAAATTAATTGCCAAAATGCCTTAGATCATTTTGGAAAAGAGCTGATACTCTTACACTGCTAGACCGATATTAACCAAACATAGATAAGAACCACAGCAAGGAAACTGGCTTTCAAATGAAAAAAACGCATCGAAATCGGTCCATCGGTTTGAGAGCTACGATGCTACAGACAGACGCTCACACACACAGACAGACAGACATCGACGTCAAAGTTATAACACCCCTCTTTTTGCGTCGGAGGTTAAAAAAATAACTCATGCTTTAAATATATAATATAAACATACATACCTATTATATCCGTATGTATATTATATGTATATACACACGCTCTTATATATATAAATATTAAAGATGAAAATGAAGACGGTAAAGATGAAGAAGTAATCAAATAAAAAAATTTAAGAAGTCAATTTTTTTTTAGTTTACTTACATACTTTACTTAATTTTTATTTTTTATTTTAAGTATGGCTTTCTAGTAAAACAACATATCTTTTCAATGTATGAATTATTGAGAAATGCTTACATTTTAACCTATTTAAATATATTCAACTTATTCCTGTTAGAAATTTTACTTACCTATGTAAAAATCTATACGTTACCATCTTTGTCAATAAGTATATCAAATTATATGAAACGTGACGAGTTAAACATAGTACAAGTATAACGATATTTATAAAAAAATGAAGAATTGACTAAGGAGGACTTACCAACAATTTCACCTATCATGAATATGACACATAATACACTAGCTATTATAAGTTTTCTTCGTGCCCTTTTATCTATTTCTTCATTTCTCGATCTGTGACAATGTCCTGAAAACAGTAAAACATATATTTTATTTAAGTAAATAAAATATTTTAGATGCAATTTAATTACTTCAAGCTTACATATTTTGTAATACACGTTAGTAATGTAATGTTTGTGTAATTTATATACAAACAAATGCAGATATACTCTCTCTATATCGTCATTCTTATAGGTCGAAGTAATGGATATCAGTTCCGACACAACCGGAGTCTAGACGTAGGATCAGTCCTACTCAATCTATAGGTATATATAATAAAAGTGTAACTGGTAACTGTCTGGACATGGAAGATATTTGAGAAAAACTATTATTGGGAGCGCAATGAAACCCAAAAAGCAATGATTTTTAGATTTTTTGTCTGTTTGTCTGTGCGTTTGTGAGCGCTAATCTTAGAAACGGTTTAACTGATTTGAATGTGGTTTTCACTAATGTATTGTGGTAAGATTCACTTAAAATTTAGTATTTCAATCGGTTTATAAATAAAAAAGAAGCACCCAGGGACGAACCCGAGCGAAGCGAGGATGAGTCGCTGGTATTCCATTATATAGAAGGTGCTACAAAGAATTTTTTTACAACAAAATTAATAATTCTTTTGGTTTGACCAAGAATAAATCATATGTTACCAGATCAACGAGTCAGTCAGTCAGTCAGTTAAGGTACATAGAGTTACTCGTAAGTACTCACTTTCAGCTTCACTAATGCTACCATTTCCCCTCTCGCCATTATCTCCATCTGCACTCGTTTCGATGACAGCGCAGCATCCTGTCGAGGGGTTTCCATGTACGCAGAATATTACACGCCGACCCCTTTGTCCTGCCACAGGACTGTCGGTACCATATGTGGCTTTGTTGTCTTTGAACCTGATAACAAAATAATAATATTTAATGATCAAAATATATATTAGATATACATAAAAAGCGTAAAGAAAACAAATATACCTATATCCTTCCATAAATTAAATCGTTGTCTTATACATACAATATGAATACAATTTATCATAATGTCACATATTGTATATCTATCTATACATATAATAAAATTCTAACCAAGTCGAATCTTTACATCAAATATAATTTGAAATTATTGAAATAATCATTATTATTTATTATTATCGATACAGAGACTGAATCTGTAGTTTTTAGAATTTTTGTCTGTCTGTCTGGGAATGCATAACGAGAAAACCACTGGACGAATTTTAGTGTTTGATATGATGATAGCTGGTTATCCAGGTCAACATATAAAATAGTTTTTCTGCGGGAAAACATCTCATTTCTGAGAAATGTATACTATGTCGTATGTGTTATACTTAGGTCGATGGTTAGGTCACTGGAAGTCTTTTAGATTTTTGGGGTACCAGACCTGTTGCGTCATCCGCCATCTTAAATTAAAGGGTTGATTTTTGTTTATTAAAAAAGTAGTTTAAAATTAAATTTCCTACAATTTTGGCTCTTATCGATTTTTTCGTAAGATCTATATTTTTCGATTTATACCTTTTTTGAGCTAATTTAACTGGGCTAACAAGGTTTTAACGTAGATTGATAAGTGACAGTAGACTTAAGAAATCGTTATTGGAAGAAATCGTCCACGTCCTTCCATAAGGATGTAAAAGTTAAAAGCTTGTTATGTAAAAGCTCATTTTTTTTTAAATATTATCAACGCTATCTGTCTGTCCCATACAATTGTTTGCTCAAAAACTAAGTATTTAATGGCAATATAGTGTTATACAGAATTCTAATAGAGAATAATATTCTGAACTAGGTACCTTTCCTTTACACTGTAATGTGGATAAATAAGCGTTTAAAATGATTATACGTTTTATCCTCAATTTACTTATTACTGTAGAAGCCGGCGTTTATAGTAATTGGCCATGTCGTGTGAGTAATTTTTCCTATGACTAAGTAGTTGCATATGGATATTTTTTTTATATTTTTAAGGGAAAGTTAAGTATATTATGTGAATTTAAGTTATGTTTATATTAGTCTTACGCACAAACTCAGTATTTTATTTCAGGGCGTAATTTTAGTCCATAATAATATTATAAATGTGAAAGTGTGTTTGTTTGTTTGTTTGTTTGTCCTTCTTTCACGTCGAAACGAAGTGACGGATTGGCGTAATTTTTTTGTGTGGAGATAGTTGGGGAGCTGGAGAGTGACATGGCTATTTTTTATCGCTGGAAATTATCTAATTCCCACGGGAAAATATGTTAAAATACAATCCAAAAAAATATTTATGATCAGAATTTACTTGAAACTTTGTATTAATGTTCTTCAATAAAATTAAAAAAATACATGTTTTAGCATTTTCCAAGCGTCATCCTATAAGGGGGTAAATTTTTGTATGAAACTACCTCTTTAAAGATTTATTTGTAGTTTAAGCGCGAGCGAAGCCGCGGGTTACGCTAGTATTATTATACATGTGAAAGTTTGTGAGAATGGATGAATGTTTGTTACTCTTTAACGCCAGAATGGCTGAACCGATCTAGATGAAATTTGGCACAGAGATAGCTTATAGTCTGGAATAGCACATAGGTTACTTTTTATTCCGGAAAAATGAACAGTTGCCGTGGGATAGATTTGTTTTTGTCTAGATTCGAACGCCAAGCGAAGCGACGGTGAGTCGCTAATATTACAAATATTCTTTTGTATACAGATAATATATACAATAGTAATAAATTGTTCCATGACTCACCTTCCTTCACATATCTTATACTGTATCAAGTTATTAGCATATATCAGGACAATAATTATTATTAGAAACAGAAACACGTGTTAAAGTACTTTATTTAAATATTAGCATATATTTAAATACACACATAAACATGGATCTAATCTGTTTTTGCACAAAAATAATGATAAGTAATGAATCCGGACAGTGTAATATTTTTTCAAATACAAATATGATCACACTCGAGGTATACGTAATATGTAGTATAATGTAGTACGAGTATATTAAATAACAGCATTGCCCGCGGCGCCGCCCTCGTGCAGATAACCAAAAACCAAATTCTTAGGTTTTACATATTAGTATACTCTTACATTACAGTTTTTGTATTTTTCCTCAGAAATGAGATATTTTCCCTCGGTAAAAAGTATGCCATATATTGACCCGGGTAACCAGCTATCATCACACCAAATTTCATCAAAATCCCTCCAGTGGTTTTTCCGTGATGCGGTAACAGACAGACAGACAGACAGACCTCTGTATCCATAATAATGTCTATTTCAATTAGATTTTCTAAAAAATATTTAATGTACAGATTCGACTTAGTTAGAATTTTATTATATGTATAGATAAGACTTTTATAAGCGATATCGCGTAGTAAAAAATACAACATATTACAAAGTTTCCTCTTCTTTCAAGACGGTCAAATAGTTTTAGTAAATTAATATTTAACAACTTTTCTATTGTTAAAAATCACCACTTCAAGAGTGCTCGACACACTACGAAATTTATGTACATAATATAACCTACCTATGAAAATTTATTCAACTAAACACAATTCAAAGAAAAAATATGTAAATGACAGCGATATTTATCTACATAGTATATTTTATACCACGGGGCCTCATAAGTGATAAATAATTCACAAAAAATGTACTAATTTTTTTTAATATATGGTTAATTTATCAATTTGCTGCATATTTTAGTCGGAGTGCTATTATGGATTGAAAGTTTGTATGTATGTTTGTTATATATTCAGGTGAATATATAACAAACATACATACAAACATACATACAAACATTCAAGGTTGGAAGGGCTGGATGGTTTTGGATCTATAGTACCTACAGGTAGACTTTGAGGTGAAGTAGAACACAGGGTACTGTTAAGCTTGTAGGGACACGATTTTGTTCGACCGAAGCATTTTTAATAAATTCTATAAGTAAAGAAGACCTCTTTATGTTTACAATACATAAGATAGTTTCTTACTACTCATTCATAGATTACTATGTTAGCGTTTTATAAGTAACTAATATTATAAAAAGAAAAGATTTTTTGTTTGTTTGTACCAAATAAGTCCCGAAACTACTCGACCGATTTAGACGAAATTTGGTAAAAAGATAATTTGAGACCCTGGAAAGTACATGGGATAGTTTTTACCGGAAACCATCCCTTAAGGGGGTGAAAATGGGGATGAAAATTTAGCCATAGTTAGTAATAACTTACACAAAAAGTAAAGGCCAATAACATCTATTATGTCCATAATATTTTTAATGTAATATATTCCCTTTTAACATATTAAAAAATCTTTGTAGTTTTATCCGCGGATGAGGAAAAACAGTATTTTGTGGTGTTATCTGCTAGTCCATTTTATTGTTAAATTAATGTTATGGAAAAACGACTGCTTATTTATTACAACCTTTTAATTAATTTGTAATGTTTGTTAGTTTCAGTTCCAGTTGGTATCCAACAGAGTTGAAATTTTACGTGTTGTCGGTGTGCTTTGATTTGTATCTGCTGGCACCGACTTCGAAAATATCTAATTAGGTATCTATAATAAATGAAAACTACCAATCAGTTATTTTTTACTTTTTAGTGTTTTTTTTGAAGTCGTTTTTTTTTTGGTTTTTATTTTCCTATTTTCAGTGGCGTGATGTTATGTTGTGTGATTAGTGATTACGTAAACAATCTATAGATAAGCGATAGCAGCAATCGCGGTTGTTTTGCTGGCATTTATTGAAGAGTTCCGTCGTCTGTCTCCGAAAATCATCATCAGATCTTTATGAAATTTAAATCGAAATATTTCGGAATTAATCTCTTTCGAGGGAAAAAAAAAGAGTTTTGCAAATCTGTCCATAAATGACGGAGTTATGCCGGAACGAACATACATAAAAAATATAAGTATCCGAATTGAGAATCTCCTTCTTTTTTGAAATTTTAAAAAATAAATTTATCATAAACAGGGTAATGTTATACATATAAGATAACCGTGTCATAAGTAACGAAGTAAGGCCATTTATAGGTAAAAAAACCTTAACTCTATTATTATTTTTTTCAATACGATTATCGCGATACGCGCCTACTCGTATCTACCATAAGATAAGCAAGCACCTAAAACATGTTTTATTGAATAATATTTAATACGCATTACAAATGATAATTTATTGGAAACTAGCGACTCACCTCACTCCGCTCGGTTTCGTCCCCGTTAGGTATGTTTTAACGGTTAGTATGGAATAGATATACTACATATATATTATATTACTGCTCCGCTCCCTTGGGTAGTAGCATGATGGTATATAAGCTATAGTTTTCCTCAATAAACTGGCTATCTAATGCAAAAAGAATTATTCAAATCGGATCAGTAGTTCTTGAGATTATTGAGATTAGCTCGTTCAAACAAACAAACCAAACAGACAAACTGTACCTCTTTATAATATTATTAGTAAAAAGTTTCTGCGGCACCTTTGAAGCCTGAGAGATGCAAGGAGCTTGTGCTAGCAAGTAAATGAAAATTAATAGGTTTAAATACACTCATATCTTATTAACAGATGCTGTAGGTAGATACTTCAATGCAAATGATACACATTCACGAAATCTGTACCAGATTAGATGTACTTCTGTTATATCTAATATCTGTTTTTCTTGTTTCAAATGTCATAAAGAACATATTATACTTATAAAATAACTTGATGTCGAGATAATGGAGATTTGAACACGTCTTTTGAGGTTTATATCATTACTAGCATTGCTCGCGGCTCCGCCCGCGTTAAGATGACCAAAAAGCAAAATCTTGGGTTTAAATTATTACTATAATGAGAGATACTATATATAGTAATAGTAGAAATATTTTCCCGCGGTAAAAAGTATCCTATATGTTGACCCGGATAACCAGCTATCACCATACCGAATGTCATCAAA